TTGGGAACTGGGTTTCTATACTTCATTGCAATATCCAGCCACCTTCTAGCCTAAATATCTTCATCTATTCTTGTACACAAAGAATTTACGTATTGCGTGTCCGATCGAATCTTAGACTCGAGGAGGCGTTCTCCACTCCTTTTTTGCTTTTATTTTTTATTTATTTTTTAAACAAACCGTTGAGCTTCCCTGGTGTGTTTGTTTGGCTTGAATATTTTTTATTAATATAATATGAAGATGCTATTTCAATACATAGTATAAAACAAAGTCGCTTTCGCTGTATGTCCGTATGTATGCTTAGATCTTTAAAACTACGCAACGGATTTTGATGCGGTTTTTTTTTAATAGATAGAGTGATTCTTAAAGAAGGTTTGTATGTATAATACATGCATATTGCACCCGTGCGAAGCCGGGGCGGGTCGCTAGTACTATATAAAAATAAGTCGGGTTTGCCTTCCTGGCGCTATAACTCTAGAACGCACGAACCGATTTCTACGGTTTTACATTTGTTGGAAAGGTCTCGGGCTCCGAGAGGTTTATAGCAAAAAAATTACTTTTAATCGCCAAACGAAATGTTACATAACGGTGACGAAACGGACTTCGCCGGGTTTGCTAGTTAATGTATATTTTGAACATCCTCCTGTATTATCTGTGAAAACAAATAAATTGATTTGATTTGATTTGAATTGAATTTTACCTCCTTCCTGATAACTTATCGGTCTGATATTGGGTAGTTTTTTCACAACTACCTTCGTTATGTATATCAAACATAAATGGTAGAAGAGGGCTTGTCTTCACAATATTTGACATCTACTTATCACATGCGAGGTTGACGAGACAGTTGATTATGTTGCACGCGCTGCACTTCGCCTGCGAGGTGGTAGCCAATTTTTTTTTTAAGGGGGGAACTCATCGAATATTTACTCTCGCCTGGGTGAGGCGGGAGGGAGTGTCAGACTCTTACTGACTAAAAGCCATCTCGTTCCTTCTCCTACACGTCGAGCCGGAGCTCCAGTAACCCGTTAGGTTCTCCGCAACAGATGGTAGCCAATACGTCAACCTATCAAGTCTAAAAAAACCTCGCGTTACAGAGATTTGTCTTGTTCTAAACGATTGACATAAAAAATATTTAACCGACATCCGAACGAAAAAAGGAGGTTCAGCAGTTTGATCTTAATGTATGTATGTTTGAACGCGATTATCTCGCAATTGACTAAGCCAATTTTGATGCGGTTTTCAGAAAAGTGTTTGTTACATTTAGGATACGGTTTCTTGAATAGGAGGCAACCTGATGGTAAGCGATGGACCCCCGCTACACCAGAGGAGTCACAGGTTCTAGTATATTAGTCGACTTCAAAAAAGGGATGTATTAAAGTCGGTTTTTTGAAACGTAGTTATGACAGAGTATTTTTATGTATTACTTGTTGCAATTGACTTTATCATAATCACTGTCATGATCAACAATATTAGGGTATGTATGTATGTACATTATTGTACATGTTTATCCAATACTGACTGCCTCGTTGGCCGAGTGGTCGTAAGTGCGACTGCCGGACAAGGGGTTCGATTCCCGGGTCGGGCAAAGTATTACTGGGTTTATTAAATATTCTCAGTAGTAGTACGGAGTCTGGAATTGTGCCCGGTAATAGGCTCACCCCCATTACATGGGCCTCATAACATAAATAGTGAAAAGTAGGTATTACATTGTACAGTGGTATAATGTGCACCTCTGCCTATCCCTTCGGGGATAAAAGGCGTGATGTTATGTGTTGATACTTAAGGTCTAAAGACCTCAATTTGATAAGAGTCTTACACAGTTATGCAGAACATCTGATGATATCTTTTAAGACCTTTATGGAGTACAATAGGTAAAGATATTGTGTTACGAGTTATTTTATAGTGGTATTAAAGATAAGTGCCTTAGTTTTGTCATGGAACAACTATAAGCTATATAAGGGTGGCTGTTGTGTATGAGGGAAACGGTTTATTGCTATGTAATATAATATGGCTACTTTAAGGGATGAACACTATGGACAGAATCTTTGAATAACAGTCATGAGCTTGTTTTTTGTTTTTGTTTCTTTTAAAAAAACTTTTCCCTACATTAGGATTTTCTCCTGTATCGTGGGCGCGTTTACAAACATACAAGTTCACATACACGTGACACCCAGACCCGGAACGAAAATTTGTGGATAACACAAACACTTGCTCCATGCGGGATTCGAACCCACTGCACGTTGCTCGGCAGCCGGTTGCCTATCCATTGAAATAAAATAATAAATCAAACGAATTTTGTCGGTATTGTAGGTAGAAGGAAAAATATAGTTCAATATTGTACAACGCAAAATTACCTCCGTCCATTATTTATTCGCTACGTCTATATTCATCCCACCTTGCTCAACAAACCCACTTTTCACTATTTATGTTATGAGTCCCATGCAATAGGGAGTGAGCCTATTGCCATATACCGGACACAATAGGGTAGATTCTCGTTTTATCTAAGTATTGCTTTATTATACAACAAAATAAAAAAATACGTGTCTAATATTTTTTTATTACCTAAGTTACGGACTAATTATATTTTTAATTTTCATACCCTGTCATCATCCCCATTCCATTGTGCATCGGCATTAAGTGCCGTAATGTGCACCTCTGCCTACCCCTTCCGGGATAAAAGGCGTGATGTTATGTTATGTTCAACAAACAACACCAATACACTTCTCGCAAAATAAACAAACAGTGTAGCAATCGTATTAATCTTTGCTCAACCAATAAAACACAATGATTTGCCTAAACTTCGTTTGATCGATGGCTAATTAGGGAACTTGCCTTCAAGTTTCAAGGTCAAACCAGAACCTTTTCCTCTTCCAAAGGTCACGTTCAAATACTTGAGAGTTTAGTTATCCAGTTTTTGTTGACATCCTTTGATCAAAGTAGACTTTGAATTTGAAATGGACTTGTGTATGAACTTTTAGGGAACAGAGAGTATAGTTCCCTAAGATCGGAAAAGGAGGATCCTCCGACCAGGCGAGGTGATCGTGCCTGGCGGGCTCTCTGCCCAACAGTTGTTCGTTGGGATTTTCTATCCATGTTAAATCGAATGTAAACTTCGCATGTGCGATGTAGGATTTTTATGACGTCATCCGTTGACTTGTGACATGTGTCGCCACAAACTCATTTCCGAAATGTCTATTGTACAAGTTTTTTATTATGTGTGTTTTGTGGTTTTGTTCTTAATATCGACTTAGTTATAGACTGTGTCGTTAGTCAAGTATCTTGTTATGAGTGTGGCTGTGGAGCAACTGTTCTCAGGTTTGATTGCCGAATCGGGCGTTTTAGTACAGATAGGTAGATTGAAAACATGGTTATACATTGATATTTTATTTTGCTTTACAGTCAAAACAATCCCGAAGTAATAATAATATACTAATTAACAATTTTCAAAATAATTTTACCTAATTCGATCACAATATCGAGTTCAGCAAACCAGAAAAGGCAAACAAAAGTTTCCACGAGAATTACGTGAAAATGTGCAATACTAACAAACATATCAATGTTTTAAGTATGCACATACCAACAGTTGAACACAGTTCCCAAATTTTGTATGCAAGTTGAAAACTAAACAGTATTTACAAGAGCTCAGAGGTGCAAATAGAAACTAGAATTTGTAGCAGAAATTATTATTTACTAAACTGTTTTAATAGTACATACATACGTTTAGTTTCAAGGCTGCTTTTAAAGTTTTTTTAAGTTATAAAGCCAATAAATGTGATAATGATACAGCCTTATTTCACTCGCGCTATTATCACCAGTAATCGGAATAGGTTGAGTATACCTCTATTTACCTACAGTTTGTTGAACGTAGTCAAAATCAATCGGAGACTTCCTTAAAACTAAAAATTTTTTTACCTGTTGTTACCTGGTGTAAAAGTTGGTGTTACATTGTACAGTGGCATAATGTGCACCTCTGCCTACCCCTTCGGGGATAAAAGACGTGATGGTATGTATGTGTCATCATCCCTATTAAAAGCGGCAACGTATATACATATAATTCTTGCTATAAATTCCAAGTTCTATTTGCACCCATTCACATTTCACCGTGGTTAAGACACGGTGAAATGAACATTTCCTTGTTTATTCAGAAATGTAAATACTAACAAAGTCTACATACAGTAATGAATGAATGTAATTTGGATCTTAATATCTCATTATCAGAGACAAATATCATTTGTTCAGTTTATTTATGAAGCATACTTCCATAGAACCCCGTTCGTTGTTCTCTTAACATAATTATTATTACCCTTTAAATAAACTACAAAGACACGATCTAACAAACAAAACATACTGAGTTAAACCCTGCAAAACCCTAACATCGGTACAAAGTTAACTTCAAAGCGGAAATAGTTACTAGCACTCGCAAGTCAAACGACCCTATCATGTGTATACCTACATAATTGTGTGTGCATGTACAACACACTAAAAACCATGTCATCTGTTCCTCATCACCAAAGGCTGCAGAAAATAGAGCTACGTTAACGAGGGACATAAAGGACGACCCTATTTTGCACTGCAACCATCTTTGTACGCCATTTCTTTAAGGTCATCGGATGTCCAACGGATAGTAAGGATGGGTCGAACCCATCGGCCATAAGTTCTGAAGCACCCCATTTCCTTTAAAGGGGGTCTTTTGATAAATCCAAGCAAATCAATTTTAATGGACATCCATATTTCAATCGAGGATGTTGGGTGGTCTCTTTATTGGTTCGGGAACGATTTTCTGCACATTATTATCGGATTTGTTGATGGAATTACGTGATAGAAAGTTCATGTGTATTTTTAAATGTGGTCAGATGTGTTTAATATGTAATGCAAACTAAATCCTGTTTGAAATAAGGTTGCCTTTCGCAAAATACCAAATAAATTTAATTTTGCTCCAGATTGAGACCCTAATAATCCCTATACCAAAGATATCATCTGAATTCTTCCTTTTTCTTTCACAGAAAGAAATTGAGCCGGCTGAGTAACAGCTCCCTCATTTCAACTCCTCGGAGACGGTTCAGAAGTGCAGCCTCAGCAGCCAGGTTCACCATCTTCAGAGCGAACAGAGCTGGCAAGCTGCGAGCCAAGTCCTTCGCCAAGAAAGAGAAGAAAGCTACTCAAACTCTTGCCATTGTTTTAGGTAAGGAAGGACTAAGGACATAAACAATCAATTATTATTTTTCACGAATAATGTGACAAGCATATTACCTGATGAAAAATAGTCATTGCCTAAGGACATTGGCTACACGAGATTTCAATCGCGTCACAGAGTCATTAAAACACCTTCAAGATTATGCTTATCTCTCTAAATGTTTTACTAAACACTATTCTCTTTTACAGGCGTCTTTCTCTTCTGTTGGGCTCCATTCTTCACCTGCTCAGTTCTGGACGCGATGTGCTCCAAATTTGGTCTTCCCTACTCTCCTGGAGTGACAGTGTTCATCCTGACCACGTGGCTGGGCTACATCAACTCGTTCCTCAACCCTGTCATCTACACCATCTTCAACCCTGAGTTCAGGAAGGCGTTCAGGAAAATACTACATTGCGGCACCTAGCCCTTAGATTACTACGTAGTTTACGACTAAACTTGTGTTTGGACTCGCTCAAGATTAATCTTGCAAATGCAAAATACATAATATTGTCTCTTATTCTCTTTTCCTTCTGTATTAGACCAAACATGAGTTTAAGTTATTTAATCGAATCGGAAATTTTTAATAGGTAATTATTTGTATAAAACTAATAAATGTGTCTAAACTACACTAGAACACATATTGATTTTTGGTTCGAAAAAATATTATGACAAAGATAGTCAATAACGGCTGTGATTGAATGATAAGTGCAGAGAAATCTTTTCAGAAGGACTTATTTCCATTACCTTAGAACCTTTAGACCACAGGAGAACGAATTTTAATTATTTAAAACCTTTTATAAATAAATACGCTTAATTCCCAAATCCCATCAAGTGTTACTTGATTCCAAATTGCTAATAGTTTTAAATCAGGATCCGCCATTTTGAATTGGTCCACACAAGATGGCCGTCACAAAATGGCGTGTGTAAATATTATTTATTTTATAAATTGTCTGAGCTCAAGTTGAGAACTACGTAGTTGATCTAAGGTACTATTAGTGGAATATTGCTTTAGTATGTATAGTCAGTCAAATTATTTAGTATGCAGGTGAGAAAATAACGATGAATTTAGTACAGAGCTAGTAACCGCATTAAATTGATTGATGGCCATAGATGACCAATAAGTGTGAGAACCAAACCACTAGTACCCACCCCTAAACCAACTCTTAACTAAAAATTACTTAGCGTACGTAACGTAGAACCTAAACCAACCCCTTACTAATTGACCCTCACGCACTCCGTCTCCTCCTTAAGGAAGGAATGAGGGAACGAACCTCCTCACGACCTGGCCGTCGCAAGAAGTCATTAGATTTCCCCCCTCAAAAAAAAAGGTGTCACAAAGATTTGTGAAAACCAAAATGTTATACATTATGTCACCTACCTCAACTTAGGGGTTCCTTAAAAATTAGGAGAGGTCGATGAAAACTTGCTTTAGTCGCCCAATAGTTACTAAAGTTATGGTTCCATTAAAAATCATTCAGTATAGTTTTTAGTATAGCAATGACTACTGTCTCTGTACTGATTCCATCTTCATTTTTGACCTGCATACCAAATAGGTTGGCTACGCTCTTCTAATGTATCCGTCTGAGTAGGATATAGTATGGTGTCTTTAAGATACTTTTTCTAAAATAAAACGTTTCTTTACACAGTATTTTCGAACATAGCAATGAAATGAAACGTTTGTAAATAATAATAATAACATTTAAACGGTCAATTTAATAAATTAACTTAATAGAAAATGTATAATCGTATGAAAGTTATTGTTGTAGTATTTAAAATACGCATTGATTGTAAATAAGTAGATTTATTCATGTTATAGGCGGTTTAGTGAAATTGTGTCTATGTTTTCAGTTTTTCCTTGACTTATAAATGACCTAGCTAGTTTAATTTGTTCTGGATTTGATGTGATGAATAAGAATAGCTTGCTATTGGCTATGTGCGCGACGGTAGCGACGCGTAGCGTTTACAACATTTGCGGAAGCTGTCAAATAATAACAATGGAAACATTATAATTTTCTTTGCAAATTTATATAAAACCAAAGATTAAAATAGTATTGTTGACATTATTTGAGTGCAATTTATTTAATAGTTTTACTGTAAAATGATTATAATAATAATAAAAACCGGGTTTGCGTCATCCGCATTTGTTTCCAATTTCTGCCGTGTTGTGCGCTGCGGTCGTTATCTGTCCGCCACTACTCGCTTTGCACATAGCCAATATAAGCCTGTATTGACTAAGTCACTGTCATGCAATTTAAAACTTTATTCCAATCACGGAAAGGTTCGTTATGGAATTGTTGTACTGGACACATCTAAGCACTCAGGTAAAATTTAAGTTAAATATCTACTCCTGAACAAACCTCACGCACGCATCAAGTTACCGCAAATCTTTTTAATCAATTATAAACCTTAAACTTCTGCAATAAGGTCGAAAATGTATTCAACATTAAAAACATTCCTTTTCCATAATTGTTGACATTTTCGAACAAATATTCCCTCTGTATCCTACCTACCTGTTGCATAGATAATAAATTTTGTAGCTTATCACAAATTACATAAGACTTAAAATCCTTTGTAAGCACATTTTCTACCTTCTATAAGTTACCCTGTGGTTGTGATGTTCATTTTGCAAAGTATTTAGCAATAAATGTATGTACGTTAGTATGTATGACTTTTGTATGACCTCTGTATGACTTGTGTGAGCCATGTATGTGCGACTGTACTCTATAGAACATGTATTTAAGCTATTTGTAATAATCCTTAGATTAGTAGGTACTTCTTTAAAATTCAACAGTTGCTGCTCTCTTGCATTGCACGTGAATCGATTCCAAGTCTTAAACGCACAATATTTCCATCTACGCATCATATTCATGAAATATTCATTGAAATTATTTTACACTGCTCTCTTGCTGCTCTGACAGCCTCGTTGGCCGAGTAGTCGCAAGTGCGACTGCCGGGCAAGGGGTCTCGGGTTCGATTCCCTAGTCGGGCAAAGTATTATCTACTGGGTTTTAAAAAAAATTGTCAGTAGTAGCACGGAGTCTGGAATTGTGCCCTGTGTATGGCAATTGGCTCACACCCTATTACCTCTATATTGGACTCAAAACATAAATAGTGAAAAGTAAATGTTACATTGTAAAGTGGCATTAAGTGCCGTAATGTGCACCTCTGCCTACCCCTTTAGGGATAAAAGGCGTGATGATATTTTATGTTTTTATTTTAATTAATTATAGTCGCAAATGTAGCTTTCGAGAAAGAAGTCCCAATTTCGATTTCGTAATCGGACTGTATATTAGCGAGTATTTCACCGGATTTCGAAGATATTTCAACCGAGTCATATTTTTAAACATTCCTAATAAATGGGACTCAAAACATATTGGTGAAAAATTGATGTTCCATTACAGAACCTCTGAAAGCGTGGCGTTAAATAGGATAGATGCCTAATTTTTATTTTAATGTCCGTCTGGTAGATTATTTTAAATCATTAGACACGTATTTTTATTTTAGCACAGAAACGAATACTTTCGTTCGACGATATATTGATTTCAAATGTCGCGTGACGTCACTTCTATGTACATTTTATACGTAGAAATGACGTTTTACCCCCCACTCGTAAACTTTGATTCGTTTTATCTAAGTATTGTTTTATTATACGACAAAAAAAATGTGTATAATATTTTTTCGTTACCTAACTTACGGACTAATTATATTTTTAATTTTCATACCCTGTCATCATCCCAATTATTGTTAAGTTTATAGATTAAGTAAAATCGCGGGTTACTCACGTGAATAAACTGAGAAAAGCTCTACTAGTTTCGAACCACAGAGGGGTTCTTCCTCATGAGCAGCGTGCGCGGTCGCGGCGACACGTCGCGCAGCTCGGTAGGTTCGAAACTAGTAGAGCTTTTCTCAGTATATTCACGTGAGTAACCCGCGATTTTACTTAATTTAGTATGTCTCACGATAGTTATAATAAAAACAAGTTTATAGATATTCACATATATTACAATTATTGTGAACCAATCCATAACTATAATAAATTCAATGTAATTCCTAAGCCCACCTTTAACTGCCTATAAGTCCCTAGTCCTCTAGTCAGAGATATTTGCCAAAGATGTACATAAAGTATGAATATATAGATTATCTTGTAAATAATATAATACTATGTATAAATGTTAGAGAATTATAATAATATGAAGTTGTATTTATTGATGTTGAAATAAATGGCGCATTATGTGGTTGGATATTTTATTTCTTATTTATTCTGGACTAGCGACCCGCCCCGGGTTCGCACGGGTGCAATATGCATGTATTATACATATAAACCTATCTTAAGAAAAGTTCTATCTATTAAAAAAAACTGCATCAAAATCCGTTGCGTAGTTTTAAAGATCTAAGCATATACCTACATAGGGACAGACAGACGGCGGATAGCGACTTTGTTTTATACTATGTAGTGATTTTACATAAAACCTCTGTAACTGCCTCGTTGGCCGAGGGGTCGCAAGTGCGACTGCCGGGCAAGGGGTTTCAGGTTCGATTCCCAGGTCGGGCAAAGTATTCCAGGGTTTTAAAAGTCTGATTGAGATCTCTTTAGTTTTTAATAAGAAAAGTGTGTTATAATAGTAACTAAGGTTAAAAACCTTTAAAAACACTGCCAAAATTTAATTGAAAAAATAATAATTAAAAGTTGTTGAATAGCAATATTTTTTTTATTTTATTTTCTAATATACACCTCTAGTAAAATAAAGATATTATTTATTAACATTTAAACCCATAAATATTTGAGAATTTACAAGTTAAAAATCCGGGTCTGATAGACCCACCAGGCATACCATGTAACTTTTTGCCACCAGGCATACCGAAGGTTAAAAAAAAATCTCAGTAGCAGCACGGAATCTGGAATTGTGCCCGGTATATGGCAATAGACTCACCCCCTATAACATGGGACTCATAACATAAATAGTGAAAAGTGGGTGTTACATCTGCCTACCCCTTCAGGGATAAAATATACTCTTCTTAAAGCTTTCTGTGGCCAATCCTTTAATTCCTTTCTTCTTGCTGGTCGCATAAGGTACCTATTAATGGAATCGCTGATATCATGGTTGGTTATGATGTCATAGAAAGTATTATTGAGATTACCAGCATTATAAATGTTATCTGTATCCATGGACTAACACTAAGTTTTAAACTAGAGGAGAAAAATAAACAACTTACGTATTTTTTTTAAGGGGGAAAATCATCGAATGACTGCTCCCACCTGGGTGAGGCGGGAGGGAGTATCAGACTCTTACTGACTAAAAACCACCCCGTTCCTTCTCCTGCACGTCGAGCCGGAGCCCCGGTTACCCGTTAGGTTCTCCGCGACACCACGACACCTTATAAAGACCACATTGCACTCATTACCTGAAACACGAATTAATCATTAATCCATTGTTTCAATTGATTCTTCCGAAAAATCAACCACTTTCATAAAAGACCATTGCAATACCATTAATTACTGAGTCGTGGAACATAACGAAGCATACATTTCATTAGCCAATGGCTTTCAATCAAACTGAAAGCCAGGTCGTCCGTAATTGGTCGATACGTAATTTTTATAGCACATCCGTGATTCTGATTGGAG